TTGAGAAAAGAGAATTGAATATGTTGAACATCCACGAACTGAGCGACCGGCGTCGCACCAGGGGGGATGGGGTAGTAGTAGTAGTAGTAGTAGTAGTAGTAGTAGTCGTAGTCGTAGTAGTAGTAGTGGTAGTGGTGTTAGAAGAAGTAGTAGTGGTAGGAGAATGAGGAAAAAGAGGAGGCGGCAGTAGCCGCAGCAGATGATCAAACCTGAACTCTTAGTCGTAAACAACACTAGCTGAGGTAGTTTTGTGATATACACTCATTAAGTCAACCGTTCACGCGTTCGATGCGTGCTTTCCTGTTTCGGTGGTGTTCCTCGACATGTTTGCAGTCCAACGCCTAGACTTTGCACATAGTTCATAGGGTGTTTTGCTTTAGTTGACAGGAGAGTTTTGTTTTTCCGTGCGGGGCTTCTTTCTTAAGCCTACACCAAGTGAAGGTGAGCCAGAGCGAGACCGACAATGCGCGGAAGGCCTGAATTCGTGTAGGTCCCGGAATCACTTCAGCCGCCCGCAGTGCGTAGCCATGTTCGTATTAACGGTTTGCCGGGTCTGCAGTGCAGGCCTGGATTCAAGCGGTTTCGACTTGTGAGGGCTTTGGCAATTGGTGCATAGAGTATCGACCAGGAATGACGATGACCCGCAGATAAGTGGGAAAACGTGTAGTCTCTGAATTTCCCACTGAGACCAGCCGTAGTTCTTAATTGCAACTGCAGAAGGTGGATTTGGATAGACCGTGAGGTCCAAACCGGACCTGATTGGTACTGTCAAAAGCAATGCTCTTCAGCAGCCGCCTCCACAACCCAGCGCAAACCCTAAAGGCCGAAAGCACAAGCACAGGAGGGAAGGCAAGTCCATGGATTCCAGGGCCACCAGCGTGCAAAAGACATTCCCCCTATTCCCAACATTCTAGCTTTGGGCAGCTCGGTGGGTGAAAACGTTCAGGGTGGTGTATGCGGACCCTTTGTAGATTCTTCAACTAAGCCGAAGCCTAACCATGAATCTGAACCCCAAGAACACCTTGAGGCTGGGATGGAACCAGGGGTTCTGTGTCGTTCTCCGAGTCGCTGTTGAAGCATGCCAAAATGAGGCCACGCTTCAGGTCCACGCAGAGAGCTTCAAAGATGAAGCTTTAGCGCCCATTCCCATTCAGCCTCACGGCCTGAATCTTACCATACACTGTCACACGCGGAAGCCGGAATCCCGCCCAAAACCCAGGGCTTGAGACTTGTTGCAGTTTCGTTTACTCCGGCAGAGTCGTGCAGGTTTGGCAGATGTTGCTCAGCAAGTCGCACCATGTCCGCGTCTACATCGCCTACAGCGATTTTGAGGCCGGCAACAAAGTCTGCAATCTAGAAGCTTTAAGCATCATTCCGAATCTCGCAATTGCGATCCGGGGTGTGCCTGTGCACGTCCAAGTAGGATATAGTAGGACCAGGGGATGCTGACCGACCATGGCGCGAGACCTTGCCTGAAACCTGAACGAGAAACCCTAAACCTTAGCGGTAGACACACAACAGCCGCCCCCGAATCTTGAAGTCCAAAGTCATGCCAGCCCAAGCATCACCAAGAAACATCGTTCGAAGCGCAAAGCATAGGGCCTTGTAAGCCCGCTTGAAGACTCACGCAACTCCTTTACGCTAGCTCGAGATCCTTCAGCATCCTTCATTCTGTCAGAGACCTCAAGAGCAAAGCTCAAGAATATCTCTTCTTGGAGGCTGTGACCTGTCAGTCCATGGCGAAGGCCAGGGAAGCCCTGGATGCTGGCTCTCGCCACTTCAAGGCACCGTGGCTTCGGGGGTCGGTATCCACTTTAGGGCCTTAACGGTTAAGAACTTTCGGGTTTTCCGGCTTGGGATTTGGGGTTTAGGTTACAGGGTTGGGGTTCTGCCTTGACCCTCTTGCGCTGTTTCGGTGTGCAGAGCCCCACGGCCCGCACAGGTAGAGAGCCGCAGCGAGGAGCGGGCCATGCTACTGGAGCACCTGTCCCGATCCCCAGCTGGGCTTCAAACACACGGTTCAAAATGAAGAAGTAGGGAGGTAAGGTTCCGCCTGTTGAAGTTGTGGTGATTCTGGGCCATTTCCCTGAAAGGCGCCGTAAGGTAAAGCATCGCCACAGTGTTTTGTGCTAACTTCGGTGACTTTCTATGAACATCACTTGTTAAGCTCAAGACTCAGAGTCTTCATGCGGGGCGACCCAAGACCTACTTTACAAACCCAGACGCCTGCTGCAAAAGATGGTTGATTCTAACTGAAACCATCGGGAACCTCGGCCTCCGACCACCGAGCGGGACACCCAAAGCCTTAATCCCAAATCCGGCAATAGTGTTCGTCTCCGTTGAAGTGCAGGTTTTGTGGCTTTAGAGCTGAAAGCTGACAGGGAGAACCCCCTGCAGAGCCTTCCAAAGCTCAGTCCAAACAGATCCGTGTCGCACTGTCGCACGCGAAAGAAGATCTCAAGCCGGAACCTGCGCAGCATTCAATTCCAAATAAGCACAAGCAGCGAGGCTGAAGCTCGAGAAAGAGCACGGCGACGAGGAGTCGGTGCAGGACCTGTGGCTTAGGGCCCTCGCAGTCTAGGGTTTAGCGAACGGCATACCAGTTAAGGGAGTGGGGTCTCAGGTTTCAGGCTCCAGGGTTCGAGATTGGTCTGCAGTTTAAGGGCTTCGGTTTGGGTTCGGGTGCGCAGCGGCTTTTTTTGTGAGGGTTGCCGGGATGGTAATGGAGTCTTCGACATTCTCTCAGTCTAGACAAGCATCGTAGTCAGGCATTGCACGGGTCCTGCTTTGATACAAGACCTGATTTCCGGGCTTTTGCTCGACAAGGTCCTTCGGTGTGTTAAGTCTTGTTTCATTGTCTGCAGAGGGGTTTTCCTGAACCGCCCAAACACATAGCAAGACCGGCCGGAGAGGCTTCAGCCCCGGAAGAACTCGAGTTCAGAACAGAAAGCCTTTAGAGCCCAAGATCCCGAAGACTGAAGGCAACTCCTGGACTCAAGATGCGCGGTTTTGATTTTCGTGCATCGGCCTGTTTCAAAACCCGCAACCCAGATACCTTTACCTTCGAAGATACAGATAAGATAAGCTTGAAGTCCCGAATCCGCAAAGCCCATCACGAAACGACCACAAGGCCGAAGCCCCGAAACGCCAAGCAGGCCGCTGAGAAAAAGCAGCCGCAGCGGGTCAAGAAGAGGACTTTGGGGTCGGATGGTAGAAAGGGTTGTTTGTTTTGGTCGGTTACGGTTGAACGGCTTATTTGGCCTCGGGTGCAGGGCATGGGATTTAGTTCCTTGTTGTGGGCGCGCACTCAGCGAGCTGTGCATGTGCATACGCCTCAAGACCACCTGGTTCAATTGACGGGGAGCTCAAACAAACTACAATCTGGTGCTTGGCAAGTTGATATGTCAAGTTGTAGCCGCGATTTACACAGACCTTACTGAGCTGAGGACGCTGAAACTCAGTCACTGTCGACCCGTACAGACTCGGAAGCCTATCGATGTTAGGGTTTACCAACGCGCAACCCTAAACCCTAAACGCTAAACGCCCAGGTGTAAGGAAAAGCTGCAACCAAGCATCAGAGTTGGTGCTCAGCCCGAGTCGTAACTTCTCATCTCCAAAATCGATACGCCTGACACATCTCAAGATGATGCAAGGATAAACCCTCCACTCCGAAAGACCGTCGACCCTAGACCCATGAAGCCAGACACCCGCGAGCCCAAGCTCCCGAGCTTAATCCCTTGAACAAGTCCGACAGGAAAGCCATCCAGGGAGAAGATGGCCAGGAGGCCTTCGAGGCGCGCCGGAACTTGTTTCTTTTCAGAGTCTTCTTTCGGTGGTTTCGAGCTTTCAGGCTAGGGACTGGTTTTATAGAGGACGTCGGCACATGAAGAGGATCCAAGGCTGGGCCGTTTCACTTAAACAACCCTCCAACGCTACGAAAGGGTTGCTTCGGCGTTGTGTAGCAGTTTTGTCGGGTTCACGGGCTTCTACAGCTATGGTTCGCATTAGTATCATGTTGATGATGACGGTTCTCAGACATTATTTTGTTTGAGGGGGTCCCCGACAGGTTTCGTGTTCGCAGTGTTAGCGAAGATTCGCAAGGGGCTTTGGTCCCGAGCAGCCCGTGCTTCCAGGAGTACATGGACTACAACTTCCCAGAGGAGCCCGTGGTTGGGGTCTGGGGTTTAGGATTTGTTATGTTTTTCGATCGCTTCCATCGGGTTTTGATGGACTGGAGCAGTCCTGTCGAGGGGCACGGCTGTGTCACAGGTCGGTTTCACGACAGGACGGGTTTCATGAACAAGCTTTTGCTTTTTGGCCGAAACCGAGAAGGAGTGTGGCTTAAACGGCGTGAGGTACGCTAGAAGTAACACGTTTCAGGCATTCTACAATCAGGCCTCGATGAAGACAGTTCGTGAGTTGCGACCCGCAGGATATGCCACCACGCCCTGCGTAGTCCCTGCGTTTTGCTGCTGACCTGCTGTTCAATCCTAAATCCTAAACCCGAAGAAGGCCCTGAGGCGTCGCTCTGCGGCTTCCAGCATACGCAGCTCCGCATTTGAGTCTGAAGTGTTTATGCTCTATGAGAGTTTGGGTTTAGAGCTCGTTTGCATAGCGTCAGCACTCGAACTTTCTATTCAGAACCACATCCTTCTTACAACAGATGCATGCAGTCACGCGAAACAGTACTGTTTTTGCTAGTGCTACCACTCCTATTCCACTTTCTCTTAACCATGTTGAGACAGTATCTGTTTTCTCGGTATTTACAACACTTTCGTCATGTAGGTCATCTTACGAAGCCTCATAATCGACTTGTCGAGTTTGCAAACTCGACCTTCGGATTCTGGAGTTGCTTTTTTTTGGAGGGGTGGTGGTGGTGTGTGCGCGAAACAGTGTCGCGATCATCCCCGAAAAAGGCTTCCCCTCACCCAATTTCGAGTTTTCGCCGAAAGCCGTCCGAAATTCCAAGGTCGAGTTCGCAAAGTCCAGCAGTAGGTTTGGTGACTATATAAGATGATCCGACACGACGAAAGTACTGTAAATACCGAGCAAAGCGGCTCTTCTGGAGGTATTGCTCGGGGTGTCTGCGTAACAGTGTCGTCATCATCCCCCCCCCCCACCCCCCCAAAAGCAAGTCCAAAATCCGAAGCTCGAGTTTGCAAACTCGGCAAGTCGATTCTGAGGCTTCATACATGACGAAAGTGCTGTAAATACCGAGTAAAATGGATGTTGTCCTAACATGGTTATGCGCAAGTGTAGTTGGTAGGGGTGGGGGGGGGGGGTGGCCTACCACTACTCCTACTGCAACTGGTACTACGTACTGCTGCTGCAACTACTACTACTACTACTACTACTACTACTACTACTACTACTTCTTTTCTTACTACGACGACGGCAACGACTGCTGCTGCTTGCTCTTCTCCCTGCCAGCAAGACAACAAAAGCAAGCTCGGATTGCCCGAGATCCATCGAAGGGCGTCCCCATGATTCTACACTTAGCATTTGCGGAGTCCCAAGAATTGCTTCCGAAAGACGACCCTTGCATGAACATGCAGCCCTCAACCCGAGCCCCCAAACCTCGTGCCTTAGCCCTTTAGTAGAAACAACTGCCACGAGCCAGGACAGCTCCGAGACACAGAATCTCAAGATCCTCGAGATGGCGAGGATGTGGAAGAAGAGCATCCGGGCTGGATTAACGGGTTCAGGGGTGAGTGCATCACTACTGTTATGTTTGCATTGCTGCAGAACCATTAGCACGTTTCAACTTATTGGTTCCTGACTAAGACCCCGAAATGCGGCACTGAACCCTTTAAGCTCTAATCACTCTAATCCAAGGACCTAACCACAAAGACCACCCAATCATTTCCGTGTGCACCTAAGTCCTTGACGACAGGAGGCTCGCCCATGGTTCCAAAGTCTGAGCCCGAAGCTGTAAACCTTCCACCTCCAACGCCAAAGCTCAGAACCCTTTGCGCGTGAGCTCTTCGGCTAGGGCTGGGGACTTTGGAAGCTCTGAGTTCTTTTGGGATTCTGGGCTTGTGGGGCCGAGGCTCGAGGCTTCCTAACTCTCTCTTTTTGTGATGGTCTTGTGAGTTGTAAGCTTCGGTGTTAGGAGTCGAACCTGACTGGAGTAGAGCCCCCGACGGGCGCATCCGCGTACTTTCGCAAGCTGGAGACCTTGATTTGGTCGCCTCAGTGCCTGCATGGAATCGAAACCGAACCTCGGGAACCATGTAGCGTTCAGGTCGAAGGTCTGCAGTTTGGGTCTTGTGGGGTCTGTAATTAAACCAATCGCCATGCACTGAGCTCTAAGCCCTGCGCCCCGAGGAAAGCTGGAGTCGGAGTCGTCCCAGCCCCCTCCCGAGTCGGCGTAGCTACCGGGTGCGAGGCGCCGTGCTGACTCTTCCGTGGTTTCGGGCACAAGACTTTCGGGAATAATTTGTGCCTTCAAGCAAGGTCTGCAGAGTCGCTCTTTAGCGTGAAGGGTTGGGGTTTCGTTGGAAAGGAATGCATGCGTGGATCGTGACTACAACCCCATTATTTTCTGGACGCGAAGTCTGTTCCATGTGTACTCGACAGGACCTTGAAGAATCCCAAGCGAACACAAATGCCCTCCTCAACACATAGGCAGAGAGTGTTGCCATGGTAAGAAACATGCTTCAGCGCAACATTGTGTAATCTCTAGGAAACCCATGCTTGCTGTTCTTTCCAAACAGTCCCGTCCAGGAATTCGTCCGATACCGGCGGTGTTGGGGCCGCTGAGACGACCCGCTCCAAGCCGAGGAAAAGTGCGTCCTGCAGCTAAGGGCCATCAGCTCGGCATGCGAGCCCGAAAGCAAGGCCGGACCCTGAAACCAAAGCTCCCTACTTTATATCGAAGGCTTTCGAGGCATGTTTTCTACCTGCGCCGTACATACTTCAACTTGAGTGAAGCTCATGCCCAGTCGGACACAACAGGCTTCAGAGGAGACTTTTTGGTTTTTCGGTTTACAGCATTGAGGTCGTCGAGCAAAGGATGTCGTTTTCCAAAAAGATTACCCCATCGGTGAAATCATGCCGCTCAATATTGAGGCACCAAGCCGTGCACTCAGCCTCTCCTAGAAAAATCGAGGCAAGCCTGAGGTATTTTTTTATAGGAGCTTCAAGCATTAATAAGCTTGATAAGAGGGTTCCTCCTCCGATCCTGAGACATCTGAAGGTCAGTCCATTTCGAAAGTCCTGCGTTCTAAGCAGGTCCCTGAATTGCATAATGGGGGTTCTTGGGCTTGTGGGCTCGCAGGTATTCTAGAAATTGAGCCAGTGTCGTATGGCTACCGGTGTGGCGGTGACTCGGAGCAAAACCCGACACTCGAAGGATTGCACGGCGCAGGGGAAAGTCTAGGACACCATTCGGAACAACTCGAGCTTAGAACAACCACTGGAACCGCAGAGGCTGGCAGCCTTCTTGCGTCCTTTTCCTGAACACTTTTGCTGCTAAATTTCTAGACTCTCCTAGCAGGTTCTGTGCTGTGTTATTGTGTTTTGGTAGTGTTTTGCATATTTTCCTGGGTTATCCTTTGGTTTCCAATGCTTTCGTCGTGTTATCCCACCGTTGTTCGTTATTTTAGTGTTAGGTCAGGTCTTGCATTTTTTTCCGTCAGGTTTCCGCCAAGAAAAACACCATTTCCCTGTGGATGCTATTTTCCTCTGTCTGTGGTTCCTTTTCCGCTCCAGTTCCCTGCAAATTTGCATGTCCCATGTCTTTCCCAATCAGGATGCTCTACAGTTCCTACAGGATGAGCGGTTTTGAGGTTGACATACCACTCGGGTAGCCGGCGAGTCGAAGCCAAAACATGCATACTTAGAGATCTGCATGGCGTAAGTCCCAACTTGGCGGGCGGTCTCAGGTTAAGGGATCCTGTGAGAGGTTTCACGTGGTGATTCTCGTGAGGGATGTGAAGATTCTGGTATGGAGCATGCTAGTTAATTTTTATCATTATGCTGCTTTGTAACAGGCACAAGCGGCTTCCGTGCACATTGGCTCAGCATCACGCTCCCCGAGATCGTAGACTAAACGTTCATTTCGGAGACATGTTGTCCTTGTGGATGGCGGCCTCTCACAAGCAGGGCTGCTCACACCTGGCCCATGCCTTCTGCATGCTTCTTCTCGTCTTGGGGGTCCAGTCAGTCACGTTGCGCGGAACGGATGACGGCCTCGGATTGAGTCTCACAAAGCAGTCAAGCAAGCCAGTGCCACATGATGCGACGCATAATTTTGCGTTCGGTATCGCGCCGGAGAAGTGGAAGGCGACCAGCAGCTTGCGCGGGAATGACACCAAGAAGACGATGCTTTTCTCCCCGTATATTCCTGGCAGGACTCCTCATGTTTATCACACCGAGGCAGAATATTACGAGCAGTACAGCAAAGCTTTTTTCGGCATCACGAAGAAAAGAGGCGGCTGGGACTGCATGCGCCACTACGAGATCATCATGTCGGGCAGCATTCCGTACTTTCTGGACCTTGACAAGATGCCGGCCGGAACAATGACAAGCTTTCCCAGAGAGCTGATTGCCACTGCAATGAAGCTTCCTGGAGTTCCATCGCAAGCGGAAGTAAATGAATCTATGCACAATGGCAAAGTGCCTCAGTTGGACCTGGCTAAGTTTGACACTGCAGCATACACGAAGATTCATCACGAGCTGATGAAGTACGCCGAAAAGAATCTCCTCAGCACCAGCATGGCCGCCAAGCTGGTGCCTTCACCCGCTTCCCACAAGGTGGCCCGGGTGCTTATCCACTCGATAAAGGACTCGGTCGGCTACGGGCTGTTCTTCTTGGTAAACGGGCTCGTGAACAACGGCCACTCTGTTTGTGCAAGGCCTGAAGAAATGTTGAAATCCATGCGTGATGACAATACGTATCCATTTTGGATGCTGTACGGAAATGGCTACTCTTATGCTGGCACCGTTGATCACACGAAGCTGCCGCAAGACTGCAGCAAGGGGCCTTTTGACTACTACCTTCTGGTTGCTGATGGAAACAAGGATTATCCAGAGCCGGACCCAGATGTCACGAAGACTGCAGGCAAGATAATTGCCATCAACGCCAATGACCGTTGGGGAGCAAACAAGCCAATTCCGGCGATAGCAACAGAGTACTTCGTGCGAGAAGGCTGACTACTCCTCCCTGCCACAGAACCGAGTCAGCCTGACAGCAACGAGCTTCAAAAAGGAAGACCCGCCGACTTTCTCGTTGAGCATGCATAGCCTGAGTGTGAGGTGACGTGTTTTTGTCCACCCATCGAGGTGGAGCCTACAACAGTGTTGGATTAAGGTTTCGAATCGCGGGCAGCCGCAGATGACTCTTTCGAATTTTCTCGGCCTTAAAGCTCCCATTTTGTGGGCTCCGTTCATGTTCATGTGCTTTGAATTGGGGGTCGGTGCCTAGGTTGGGTTGAGCACCGGGTGCCTTGGTGTCGCCGGCATGGCTCAAAAAGTGTATGGGAGTTTCTCAGTAAGTTCACTGCAACCAAAGTCCGTCGGTCTGTGTTCTCACAGGTAGGACTTTGGATACCTGGTCAAGCCCCAAAGTACTTCTCCTTCTCATCTCTTTCTGAGAGAGGAACTTGAGGCCAGAGCTCGCAAGCAGCATGGTGCCACAATGGAAGCTGACGGCCCTCGTCCCCAACCCCCCAAAGCAGATAATACCGTGTGACAATGTTAGCTCGCCACACCGGGCCGAACTCCCCAAGTCTAAAAGCCAAACAGATCCGAACGCAACTCCCAAATCCCGAAGTCTGCAACCCAAAAAGATTGCAACCACAGGGTAGAGCCGAGAAGAGCGAGGGTAAAATGAATCTCTTCGGTCCAAGCATTGAACCTGCGCAGTGTTTGAAATTCTATCTCTCGGCGAGCTCCCTCGGTTCCTCTCTCAGCCTCCGCCATGTGCGTTTGGCATGGTGATGGGGCCTCTGTGCGCCTGGCTGCGTGGCTTCACTTTGCAGTTTGAGGTTTAGGATTCATGCCTTGGGGTTGCTGCCATCCTCTCTGCAGTTAGGGCCTATGGTTTCGGGTTCTGGGCTAAGTCTCTGCTTCGCCGCTCAAACCTCTTAGCTCCAAAGCAGCATAAGCACCCGATAAGCTCCGTACTACAACCCTGGCAGCCCCTGCAAGAACTCCAGACTCTCAGACACATCTCCACAGAGCCCTGATGCACCAACAAGCTATCGATTCGTCTGCAGATCTCTGGAGGCTATACAGGGTTGGACGAAGAGGTAAGTGGTAACAAGGCTGGCAGGTAGTAACCATCATCGTATTGCTGGCCAAAGCGATGCTGATACTGAGAGTTTTGGTGGTAGCCTCGCTGACAGTGTACAGCTTCAATCTCAAACTTGAACCTGGGGCCCAGTCTCTGATACGTAAAGCAAGATGGTCCTGTCTATTGCTCAGTTCGAAGCCCGGCACACGGACTTAACAGGTTCAGAACCCTAGATCGAATTGACCCTGCGAGGTTTCTTTTGTTGGTCCCGCCTCGGACCAACCGCATCGCGGCCTCTGTCCTCAGCTCCAGCCAGCTCCGGACCAAGTGTTGAACATCTGCTCTGATGCTGGCCTGTGCTCAACTTCTCACCGTCGTCATCACTAACACCGCGTGGTGATGGTGGTCATCGTCATCGTCATCATTGGCATCACACCCTCATCGTCCTCAGCACCTTCATCACGGTCATGGTCGGGATCGTCATCGTCAGCATGGGCAGAATCATCATCAACTCATTCCAAGACAACAGATATCATGACTGGATTTTGGCAGTCGTATTGACGCTGCTCTGCTCTAGATATCGGTCATTCCCTGCCTTTTTTCGTTCTAGCTGCCAGTGTTGAAATGGTCTTCGTCATCGTCTTTGTTATGCTCGTCGTGGTCGTGGTGGTTGTTGTTGTCGTTGTTGCGGTTGTCGTCGTCGTGGTGGTGGTGGTCGCTGCTGCTGCTGCTGCTGCTGCTGCTGTTAATG